AGGGATGATGCTAGGGGTGAGGGGGTGGCTTTTCCAGTAAGTTTAAATAAGCCATAATGCTTGCCCCTTCCAACATAAATTGACGTGTTTTTGGATTTTTCCTAAATACCAGTATTACAAAAGTTATTAAAGGTGGATACTTTTATCTGAAAAGCACTGTATATTCACTGATAGATTCTTCTAAAAATATCAGGTTTCGAGTTGAAATCTTTAACAGTAATCTGCTAACAAATCAGACAATGTTTTTCGTTGCATGCGAGTTTAACTGTTTGAAACAATATATCGAGTGGTATGGGAGTTGTAAGCCTGATTTGCTCTTGAGATGATCAGCGTCACATATTTCAGTGTTATTACAAAATAAAACTCGTCATCATCAATGTCTCCACCCTCAAAGAGGTAAGAGGACTTGTTGATCACTTCAATTATTCAGACTGTTTGACAAACATTGATCCATTGTAAAAAAAACCTACCCAGTCAAAAGGAAATCCTACACTGTCCAGAAGAGTATCAAATGGCTCATTTTGGGTAATTATTGAAATATGTGACATATTTATTCAGTCACTCACCCACTAACTCGTCTCTCTACTGAAGTCAATTCACTGAATTTCATAGGTCTGATAGCAGCTCTTTACGTCTATAGTGGGACGTAAGTTCAGAATGCATCACACCTCTTATGAGTTTCTGGTGTACCAGTGTGAACCCAAGTACTGTACAAATATGATCCAGAAAGCTATTTTTACCTTTTTTCTACGTTTAGTTACATCGGATCCTTGTGAATTTCGGGTCATCAAAACTTTTCTCAGAGTTATGGTGTCCCAACGGGAGATCGAATACAGTCCTCAGAGGGAACTTGACTGAAATGTAAATCTTGACTAGAATTCACCAAAACCATACAGCACTGTTTCGACCTAGTAAGGTCTCATCAGTGGTGCTAGGCTGAACCACCCAACTGTCCTGAAAATAATAATCCTGAAGGTGATGCGATCTTCTCCTACGAATACGTCATCTAGGGGATCGACAGATGACCTAATCTTCGAATATCATAGATAAATTAAGCTTTTCTAGGCGGCCAGTTGCGAAACCGCTGAACAAGATTTGTCCTCTGTATTCCACTGCAGTTTTCACTACAAGATAACTAGATGTACTTGAGCTCCAACCAATCAACTTTCCTAAAAAGTAAAGGCATCAGTGATTCAGCATAACACCACTGATTAGACCATGGCGGGTCAAAACAGCCCAATTGGGTATTAGATCACAAGTACATGTTGCCTTGCAGTGGAAGATAATGGATCTCGTTCAGCAGTTGATGTAGAAACTTGGTAGAAACTTGGACTTGCAGCTGAGCGCATTGGGGAGACTCGTTCATTTTTGATATAGATGATGTTTTGGGGGAAGATGTCATCACCTCTACTCAATTGGGATGTTTTTTACCATTTTTCCATCTAGCTATATTGAGTGCCACTGAATGGGATCCTTGTACATATTAGTTCCTCCAAACTCTGTATGAGATTATATATTCCAATATATTTTCTGTAAAATAGTCCCAGTTTCAAGCTAGTAGGTGAATATGAAATGTATTATTCTAGTTTTATTTCTACTAAAATGGCGTAGGTCTCGCGGTTCCATGTAATGAGGAGGAGCAGTAATCCTGGAACACTTGACAGTGGTGGCATGAAGATTATTTGTATTCTATAAGTTCTGACAGTCGAATAGTCTATTGCAACCACAATAAGTACAATATTCTATTTACTAACTCACGTATGCACGTATGATTGTTTGTAGTCCCTGGATGGTCACTGATATTTGACGTTTTTTTCCGATGTTCTTTCTCTTCATTAAATTGTATCGTAATTGTATTCAATCTGAAAAACTCAATATCATTATGAATTATCTGCATTTGTTCCGATAGTTTTATCTAGATCTCTTGTGATTGCTCATAAACGATTTAAGTTTCCACTTCAGTTCAAATTATCTTATTTCATGTTTCATAATGGTTAATAAAGTCAACATATTATTAGTCCTCTTTATAAATCTAGCTTATCTACTTGTACTTTCAATACAATAACATACTCCAGATTCAACCAATAATATTTCACTGTTCCCTTCACATTCTCCAGTCTAGTTAAACTTCAGATAAACTAGTCGAAACTTCCAGAACATTTCTCGCATTCGATGCTCATTCTGGTATCATTCACCATTCCTTTTGATGAAATGTCGATGAGTGAACATTACCTACATTCGTTAACGCATTCTTTCGCAATCAAGTTGTTCAACATGTATTCTGTCAACTTATAAATTATTGAGAATTAGAGAGATTCCGGATGTTTTATTGGATTCGTTGAAAAGAATAGGAAATTGCTGAAAACATTGCTTCACGTGTAGATGTATATATTCTTAACCAGATGCCTTGGTATTGATTTGTTCGCATTTTGAGGTGGCAACTAACTTCACATCGCTTTCAAAGCTTTTTGATTTTATGACTGCTGAGAGTAGTATATACCTATGTTTCAGGGAACATCGTATCATTCGCCAAAAGAAAAAGAGAGGGATAGGGCAGGTCTTCAGACACAAGAACGCGTTGGAAAGATGTTCTCTAGGCAAAAATCCAAATGAATATGATATTAACTTCTATTGAAAACTCTAAACATAGGTAGATATAAAAAAATTTGCTACCAACATAGTTTACTTGAATAAAAGAAAACCTATGTTGAGCAGAAAATCATAAATGATAATATTCTTGAAAACCAAACAATCCCGAAGACTGAAATGGGTAGGGTGAAAATAATACTTCACAATTTACACAACATTAACATTTAATACTTTCAGCTGTTTCGACACACTGTGTCATCTTCTAAGCGATTTGTAACTTTCTCAGCTGTTAGCATTAAATATTAGTGTTGTGTAAATTGTGAAACTGAGCCAGTTATAACCCGAAACAGCTGTTAGCATTGAATGTGAGCGTTATTATTCTCACCCTACCCATTCAATCAAAATTTTCACATATTAAAAGCCAGACGTATAGAACAATCCCAGAGATTGTCAAAACATTTTCTCACATTGAATACTCAAGAGACAACAATCGACTTTCAACATTTTCAACTCCTCAATGCCATGAAATTATATTCAGGACACTTGAGAACACATTTTTGATAATCTCAGGCAGTTTCTTCATGGCAAATTTCTTTTTGGGATTTTTTCTTCATTTTCTACATCGCCATATAAAAAAATGGTGAACTATTTACTTATGATGCACTGTTTGGAACCTTTGGCGTAGTTATGAATATTACTGGAGTTTTTTTCCAACACCAAACCGTTATTTTAACACCCCGACACCTGTTTCGATCACCATGGCAATAATAATAGACATAATTGTCGCTATTGGAGTGACGGAAACCCACATATTTTCCAGGAAGGGTATACACAACACCCACATAAACTTGACTGCCAGTCTCTTGAAATGCTTGAAGAGACTATCGATCTTTTTATAACTCACGAGCTAAAAACTCAAATGGATGCAGACGGTTATGGACTTTCGCAGGAGGATCTGTTACATTTCCAGCAGGACAGTGATCCACCTCATTTCCGGATAGATGGATTGGCAGAAGAGGAGCAGTTGAATGGCCACCACCATGTTTATAAAACACAAACTTCTGATATTGAAGAATTCAAAAGACGAATTACAGCAGNATAGTGAAATTCATCACGAAACATTGTCAATCACCTTCAAACAAACATCAAAATCTCGTGTTTAACTCTGTCGAATGCCTTGGCCAGGTCACTGTATATAACGTCTAGCGTGATAGCCATTTTTTATTCCATCCGTAACAAAATTACTGAATGCGCATAAATTGGTTATAGTAGATTTATTACGAATAAAGCCATGCTGTTGGTCGATTATTAAGGGTGGAAAGTTCAAATTGACACCCTGTATATGACAATCTCATGATTCAGTAAGTAGATTATATTATATCCTAACCAGAATCCTAAGTAGTATATTTTGCAATTCGGAAAATACCACCTGGTAACTTTGTGTGTTGAGCTTCTATAATCATCGAATAATTATTGTCCATTTTCAGATTGCATTTCTAAAAATGGATCGTGTAAGAATATATTACAACTAGTATTTTCATTTACTCGAAAATGAAAATAAAGCTCTCCCAACAAAAACATGAAATAGTTTCCAGCAGAGCGATGTATTGACCGCAGTTGTAAATCTTAGTGTGAAATAAATTTAATGTCGTAACTTTATTGCCAGGCTGTCATAACCTTTCTATCCATCGGAAAATTTCTATTACCAGACAGATGGCATAACACAGATATGACTCCTATGGGTTTTATTTCCCACACTTGATTTTCAAAATGTCCCTAGTACGTCGTTCAAATCACGGCGAATGACCCAGAAATCGTCAGCCGTTATTCAAATAGTCGGAGAGCTAGCTCGAAAAAGTGCATTGTGTATTCAATGCAGAAAAGTGTTTTCTGCATTGAATAAAAAGACTCCATGTTTTATAAAACTCGTAATTTCATTTTTTAAAAGCAATGAGGTTGAGTCCGTCCATACATCCATACATTTTCATAGTCATTCAACCACAACGCAGTGAGAAAAGTGACAGTTTGACACACTTAATCTGAAGTTATGTTCACAATACGATATTCCAACACTCTGAAGGCTACTATTTTCAGATTGGGTCATATTTTAGTGATAGAAACTCCCGGCACCGGAACTATCGAAAAATGTATGAAAAACGAGAAAATATAATATAAAACAGGAGTTATGCAGTCTGACAGCAAAATATAGAGACACGTGGTGTCAGCGCTGTTCCATAAATGCCAAAAAAGCAGTATTTAGTGATTTTTAATCCTTAAATTTAACAAAACATTAGACGCAAATGAGTTATACTTTAATAATCCTATAACAAAGTTATAGGATAGGTCAAATAGTATTTTGTATATACATAAAATAATACTTAAACTAAAATTACACCAAACAAACATGAAAGATTGTCATGTGAGTATGACTCTTTTCGACGCCAGTTCTTGGACTAGAATTTTACAAGTATTGTATCAGTCTCGGCTAAGAAAGACATCAAATATACTGAAACTGTTATGGGAATACGCTTTATTGCAGTTCATTTCCTCAAATCCGTTCTTGAAGTATTGAAAGTGATACTGCAGTGGTAAATTCTCCTTGTAGGCTCGAGATAAATACTTATTTTTGACAGAAAGGTTAATATTCCGATGAACTTCGCGAGGAGAATAATTTTGAAGTTATGATCAACTTTATCAGATTTCCATATTTTCAAGAATTTTTGTTTCATTGAGAAACTCAACATTTTCTGAATCACAGCACATAGAGCATTCAAAAATGATTACTCTCACCATGAGAACACTGTTATCAATTGTTTTCGCAGTACCTACTGAGAAAATAAATCTTCCTCATCAAAATTTATTGTTTTTTCAAAAACTACACCTGACGATTTGATCTCCACAAAGAGAGTTTGTCTGAAATATATCTCTGACTCTCTTTCGGTCATGAAAAACTGAATTCAAAGACTCTTTCCTACTTATACATAATAATTTTATCACATTAATGCAAAAATTCCAGTCCTTCAGAAATTACCGTCTTGTAAACATTATTCAGAACACGTTTGTGTGATTTTGAGTTTAATGGCCCTCGCACTAAATTAAGTGGAACTGGGTATTCTAAATAGGTAATTTTCTATTTTCGGCGATACTTTGAAGTTGGTAATTCCGTGTTCTGGAGACATTACCACACTAAAACTTTGAACAGCAAAACTTTCACAAAGAAAATAACTTGAATTGGAGAAACGGTTCTGAATAAGGGAATTTCTAACATTCAAAGACAATTTGGAAGTTATAAAGTTCAGTGAGTTTGTTTTAGGTGTATGTACACGTCTGGCTCAACCAATTCGAGTGATAAAACATATCACTGTATCTATAAATTGATGTACTCGTATTCTCCGTAAATCAATTTTCTGTATTTGTGAATACAGTTCAGTTAGATGCAAGGTGTGTTCAAATAATTAGGTGAATTTTAATTTTTTTCAAAAAATACTTATATATTCATCTATTTCCATTGTGCCACTTTCAGAGTAGTATACTTGTGCCGGCGTTTTATCCAATCTCCGAAGCAGTTCTCATATGCACTTTTTGGTATGTTTTCAAGCTCTCTCTTTTCCTCAATCATCGCGAAACGCCGTCCTTTCATGAATATCTTCAATCTTGGAAATAGAAAAAAGTCGCAGAGGGTCAAATCTGGTGAATACGATAGCTGAGGCATGGTTACGGTGCTATTTTTGGTGAAACATTTTCGAACAAGCAACGACTAGTGAGCAGGTGCATTATCGTGATGCAAAATGCATGAATTGTTTTTCCACAATATCGAACTTTTTCTTCGGATTGCTTCTTGCAAACGGCGCATAAATTCAAGAAAATACTCCTTATTAACCGTACGACCATGTGTCAAGAACTCCTGATGGACAACACCACGGTAATCGAAGAAAACAGTGAGCAAAAATTTTACGTTTCATCAAACTTGTCGTGCTTTTTTTTTAGTCTTCTGGGCTCTTCCATTGGGACGAATCCTCCACTGACACCTGTCGGATATACTCCAACGCCAAGAAAGTAGTTGTTTTTTGAGAGGTGTCAGTCCGTTAACCTACAGTGTCAGAAGTTGAGACTTACCTGAACCTGAACCTTAGATGATTTGATTTATAGTCAGCCTTGACCTATGCCCACTGACTATCTATATGTGAAAAGTTTTGGCAAATTTCAGATATGCGGTTGGTTACCCCCTTCACAGGCAGATGGGGCAATGACAAACCTGTCGTTTGTTGTCCGTTTCAGCCTAGTTCGAGGAGTGATACTCTGAAGAAATTCGATTTTCAATTATTGGAAATCATCGACTTTATGTTGATAGACACTACCTTATACTGACGAGTTGCCAAACAACCCGAAACCCATCTGCAAGTGTGTTCCAATAATTGAAAATATATTGCGGCAGTTGTATCAACAACAGCATATGCAGGAATAGTTTCCTGGCATCAACGAGGGGAGTAGTTGTTTTCTGATAGGTGTCAGTCCCTTTACTTACAGTGTAGGGAGTTGAGACTGTTTCTGTTTAAAATATGTTTAAAATCTGTTTTTCCGTTAATCAGCTGTCGCCCCCATACGAACGACAACTCTCAGAAGTTGAGAAACTTGTGCGAGCTAAAAACTAACGGGGTCTTACCATTTAACGTGTGATTCCTAACACACTGGCCTGAACCAATCGTTCCTTCAGATGATACGAGGACTTTGGTTTCAATATACCCATGATTGGTCATCAATTATGACCTTTTTAAGCAAACCTGGATCGCCGTTGATGTCGTTCAACAATTCCAAAGCGTTGCTCATGCGACGGTTTTTCTGGTCAAAATTCATCAATTTTGGAACGAACTCCGCTGCCACACGCTTTATGCTCAAAATTTCCGGAAAAATTGCATGGCATGAGCTAACCGATATGCCAACATCCTCAGTCACTTTTCTAATAGCGACTCGACGATTTTCCATAATAATTTTTTTCACTTTCTCAGCATTTTCATCGATGGTTGATGTGATGGAGCGTCCAGCATATCAACGACCTTCTGT